GTGTTACATAACCTGGACCACAGAATCCGCGAAGTGTTCCAAAAATGCAAAAATGATTTAATTTCGGCAACAAATTTGCAGTATCCTTCCGCATCTAAACTATTATCACTCTACGTTTATAAGGTATTTTTCCCTCTTTCCTAGCCTGCCTTCGTGGTGTAGTGGTTCTGCACGCTGGGCCGGTACTCCAGAGGTCCGCGGTTCGATTCCCGGCGAAGGCGTTAGCATATTTTTCATATCCTCTGCTTCCCAAAAAAAACCTAATGTCTCTCCACGTTGACGTTGCTCAGCGTGGATCAACAACAGCTATAGGAGCAGTTTTACAACAGAAAGATCAAGAATTATGGAGACCACTTTCACATTTTTCTAAAAAAACTTCACCAGCACAAACCAGATACAGCACTCACGATCGCGAATTGTTAGGAGTTTATGAAGCTGTCAAATATTTTTGACATATGCTAGAGGAACGCGTTTTCATGATCGTAACAGATCACAAACCCTTAACCTATGCTTTTCAACAGCGTTAGGATAAAGCTTCTCCTCGTCAAATGAGACACCTAGACTTCATAGGGCAATTTTCAAAAGATATCCGTTATATTGAGGGTTCGCAGAATATTGTTGCAGACACCTTGTCTCGTATTGAACAACTAGCCGTTCCTTCGCGAATAAACTTTGCTGCCCTTGCGGATGAACAACACCTGGATTCAGAACTACAAACCCTCTTGAAAAGCATATCTTCCACCAATTTGTCATTTACTTCATCAAAGTCTTGAAAAGCAAATTTATCATTACTTCATCAAAGTCGATCCTTTCAAATTTTTTTCCTTCCACACTTAAAAATGCTAGATGGCTTAGGGGATCTTGTCCCATTGTTGATTATAAATATGTGAAAATGTATTTTAATTAGCTGAACGAACGTTCATAGCTAGCATTTGATAATGAAATAGTAAGTAGTATTTGAAGTGAGACTCTTAGGTTTGGAAAAACATTTTCTCTATAGATCTGTAGTGGAGTTTTAGGTTCAGTTCCGTTTCTTTTCTACTGCGGAGTAAGTATACGTCATGCAGTCACATTCACTGCTCAAAAATAATTAGGGGATGTTGTGGGTTCGGTATGAAATAACCATATAATCGACAATCTTTTTGAACAAAAGGAAATAGAATAGATTATAAAGGAAAATTATATTGTTTACAAAGTTGGGAATAGGCAAATTTAGTCTGTGACGTCGAAAACTATGTGTTTAAGATAAGGAGTGACAAACGACCTGCAGCATTCCTTTTGTAGTAGGAGATTTAAAAACAATTAAAAAGTGGTGTATTTAATTATGGCAAAGCACACTAGGGCTATCTGCCTAAGAGGAGGGATGCCTTCGTGAAGGACTTTCTAAGAGAAACTGGCTCGTATACACGTTACACATGGGGAAAACCACGAAAACACCCATGTAGCCAGCCCGTTCGCGGGATTCGAACCTCGGACCGAACTACCAGTGTTCAGCGACTTTACCGCTCGGCCGCTGGTGGGCAACAATTGAAAAAGAGTTGACTGTTTGTAGCAGTCAGTCCGATGTTTTAGCAAGATGACTTAGTTGAATCGGTAGACTGGAAGGCCATCAGTCCTTTACAGCAGAGTCAAACGCAATCCATTGTAGCGGAAGCGTTAGGATTTTCAAAAAATGTTATTTCCAGATTATGGAATCGGATTTTGGAAACTGGATATGTTTGAGAAATTCGGGACAAGGTCGTGTTATCGTTTTAAAATAAAAAGCGGGAGATATACGTGCATTTCGTTTAAAAAAATAAAAATATATCTCTACTTTGGAGAAATAAAATGGTCAGAAAGAACGTTTTGGTTGATGTACTGCAAACATTTTATTACACATCTTATCAGACAAATCAAGAAAATAAATAATTAATTATATTACAATAGTTATTAATTTTAAATATATTTTCCAGAAATCGATCAAAATAAAAACTGAAATTTTCCGGAAAGTATTGTTTGGAAACCATTTGGCGCCCCTCTAGGAGCAGCGCCCGGGGCATCATGCACCCCCTTGCCCCCCCGTCGCTACGCCACTGCCAACATCCAATGCACAAACAAGCCCTTACAAATCTTTTCCATCAGTCAAATTCACCGCAATCACTCAACCAATTACGTCATAATAGGTTTCCATAAGATTCAACTACTCATGTTACCATAAATGAAACAACTTGCCAATAATCCAAGGGGCACCCTTAAACATAGGCTAACCAATTAACCAATATTCTTCAAGACAGCCTATATGACCTTGGGCTGACCAGTTCAGTTTTTAAATTTAAATCTGAAAAACTTAAAGGAAACAAACTGGTAATTAACAACTGCTTTGAAAGAATAATGATTTAATAATATTATATTTTTAGCTGAGCTGATGTATTCCCAATTGAAGGTTAACTCGTTCAGGACCAGCGTCCCATATACGCGACGCAACGATTCTACTCCTATGAGCCCAGGGCCGCGTATACGCACCATTAAAGCGGAACGATTTATTTGAATTTTTAAAAGCCAGTAAATGGAGCTAAGTGGTAATTGTTTTCACATGGATTGATTCATACGGCATTTGACCTTCATGTACTGGCATTTACTCTTATTTTCTGGTTTCTGGTTTTGAGAGATGTATTGAAATAAACAAACTGGAAATTGCGGCTCTTTATAAGTGCGCCTGTGAATTAAAGGGCGCTTTTGTTTATTTTGTAAGGAATTTTTTTTTTGTTTGTTTTCTATATATTTTGAAATTTAACATAAGCTTTTTTTGGTTAATTAAAAAGTAACATTACAACATTATTACAGAAGGGGGAAAGACTATCTGCTTTCTCGACGTGTAATGCATCTTGCTCGCATTTCTCAGGAAAGAGCCAGCGTTTTTTTTTTTTTTTTTTTTTTTCCCTTTTTACATTTTGGTATATAATGTATTTACTGGATATATAATGTACTTATATATAATGCATATATTGCCGTGATCAGCAACGAATATCCCGCCAGTGTGTGTGGGGGGTTTTTCCTTGATCACTTTCCGGTAATCGTGGACGCTGTTTTCGATTTAGAAAAACACGAAGTCTTCTAATATAAACCTGATGTCACAAGGTGTTTGAGGATGAAATATTTCTGAGTGTCTTTTGAAGTTTTGTGATATGTGTTGGGGTTATATTCAGTTTCATTCCGTTAGCCATGGTTAAGAGACCTTACTTAAAATGTTAAAAATTTGTCCAAAATCAGGGGACTTTTCCGTCTAACTGGAAGACAGTTTTCGAAAATTTATGTTGATGGGAGGTAATAAAGGTAGGAGAAGATACGTTTTGTGCACTAAAACCAAGAAAAAGCAAAAGCAAACAATGTATTTTGAGTGCGAAATATGCAGTGTAGGATTATGTGTCGATTTTTGTCTTGAATTATTTTACACACAGCAGAATTTTTATTTAAACTGGAATTTAACTACCTACAGGTAATTCTCGTGTTTTTTTTTAAATTTCGTATTTGTAATTTTTTTTCATGTTTATAGTATTTATTTCTGTTTGTATAGTTAGGATTTTAGTATTTTGCTTGTTTAATTTATTTCTATTAACGTGATATTCTTTACGCAACTTTGAACTCATAATATCAAAATGCTGATTTATATGATTTTTTTCTTTTTTTAAAAATTAGGCTTAACTGCTAAAATTGTGTGGGCCGGTGGCGACAATCCATTTCAGAGGGTCCAGTCCTGTGACTGCACTTTGTTCTCCCGGCGCTGGTCCTTAAGGGGTTAACCAGTACCTTCAAGAGATCTATTATGCGCTTAGGCTGACTAGTTCGGTTTTAAATCTGAAAGACTTAACTCTTTCACAACCAATCCGTCCCACAAAGCCCTACATTGAGACAACCTGAACCGCCCCCAAACTGCCGAGATTGCAAGCAATATTATTTTCTTTCCTACCCCTAAGGTATGCAGTAGTGGGTGCAGATTCCCCAAATGCATTGTATCGGTTTACTGCAGACAGCTCTTCCTTAGAGGTTTCTTATCGTTTGATTGCTCGCGACATTTCATTGTTGATTTTCTTTTTAGTACAATGTGCTTTTAAGCTTTAAACAGCAATAAAAATGCAGTTTAAAAATTTAAGGATTATATTTATTTTTAATCAATTTATTCCTTCCTATAAAAATAATGGAAGTAAACAAAATCTCAGTAGTGATCATAACAAAGCCAGAAAGGAATGTTGGTTTGACCTTCAGAATAGGTTTATAAAGAATGGGGTTAAAGGCTAATGAAACCTTTGTTAGAAAGTACAAAGGATGTCATTCGAAATCTTCACACCTATTTTGTGCGTTAATGGACGGGGAGGGGAGGAAATTGCTGTGAAACTGGAAAAGTATTTTGGGCGGTTCGGTATTTTGAGGATATAGGTTAGCGAAGGGTCTGGATTTCAAAGAGTTAAAGGGAACAAACTGGAAATTAACAACTGCTCGAACATAACCTGCTTTGAAAGAATAATAATTCACTCCCATCTGAGCTGAGCTGATTGATATCATCAGTTCTATTTTGCTCTTAATTTGGCCTAATTTCTTCTGAAGTACTTTTCTTATTGCTTTGGAACTTTTCCATAATTTCTTCTGAAGGATTTTTTTTTAGAAAGATATTTCTAGTAATAATTTTTATAGCTGATAATGTAATCTGTGTTTTTTTTTTCAGACTTCAGCAGTTATTTATTTATTTATATTTTACTATTTTTGTTATCATAGTGATTTGTTTATAGTTGGAAACTTATATTTATACATCTGCTAATCTTATATTGTTGGATAATAAGCTGTCTACAATATGACACTTGGTATTGTAAAAAATTAATAGTAAATTTCATTGTTCAATATTGTAATATTTATTCAATATTGTAATATATTTCTTCTCTTTTATAGAAGAATGATTCTCTCTATATCTTATTTAAGAATGATTTGCCTGCTTTTTTACTTAAAAGTGTATATATTTTTTCTTTTAGTAGTCGAAAGAGACCACGTTCTTGTGAAGATGATAGCTGTGAACTGATGCCCATTTCAAAAAGAATTAATGATCTGCATATCAGGTTGTTTTAATCAAATGATAAGTATTTTAATGTATTAAAAACATAAATATTACAATAACTTAATGAAACGTCCAGATCTTATGGGCCAACCCAGTACAGTACAAAGTCCGAAATCTGGACGTCCATTATCCGGAATGATCTCAAAGCCACCAACAATGTTTTCTCCTAGGCTTTACGCATACACATTTCATCCCCCCTCCACGCATAATAAAACATCTGGAGAGTCCTGATTCTTAATTTCACTTTGACACTAAATAAAATACCTTGCTATTGAAGAAACAATCATTTTAGCATAAATTTGTACTATCAGTACTGTTGCTGCGTGTCTGCTTGGCATACATCTCAAACCGAAATATTCCACATTGATGCATCGCTGATCCGACGTCCACCTGGCAAATCATTATTTATTATACTTTTCTTTCATCACCGCATGTTTATCAAAACATGACAAATTGAGTAATGACTCATGTCAATTTTTTTATGCTAGTAATTGAATAATAAAGAGTGTGCAACCTTTTATGTTGACATTACACTTGGCGATGATTACAGATTTAAGTTAAATGCGTTAAAAAATGTTGATGAAAAATTTGCCAAAAATTTCTTTCCATATGCTAAAAATAGATTTTGTTGATGATACTCATAGACCCAAAGCTTACATTTAGGGCTATTTGAATTAAGAATAACTGATTTGTTATTCACATAAATGCAGAACCAGTGCCAGGGCAAAGAATGTCTATGTAAAGAAGGAAAGGTTCCATAGACGTCATGTAAACCAGTTTGCTATTACGCCGCTGGAAAGTGGAGGAAGAATTCGCCAAGGGATTTGGTGACAGAACCTGGCGGCGAGAATTTCCTCCTCTGTGATGTGTACAGGAAATTGAGGAACATTTATTAAAAAGAAACATTTCTTAATGTTTCTTCTTTGACATTTTGTGATAATATAGGCTCGGATTTTCATACTTTTTTTAGCTCAAAATAACTGTCTTTATTGATTAATTTACTTACACGAAAAAATATTTTCTTTTCCTTTAAAATTTAAAGAAATTTAAAACAATATTCATTTTATGGACTCTTGATAAACGTGATCTTCGTACTTTGGTGCTTTGGCGACAGATATTTCATGCATGTGCAGCCGTTTCCCTCTATGTTGGGACAGAGCTACTCCTGCTGCAGAGAAGTTTTCCTTCTTAACAATATATATTCTTTGGCCAGGGCTTGTATGGCCGCGTCGAAGAATTTAGGACCCACGGAGACTGCATCAGGCGGTAAAATATCTAGCACTGGCCCTCAATAAGGCTTAAGTATATGGTGGGAATTTATTTATTTGGAGCTCTGATAAGCCTTAAGCATGTGCAAGAAATAGACATAAGTACCGGGTGGCCATAATTAAACTGACAGTGCTCACAGTGTTCTGTATCCCGATCTATTTGCAAGAATGACGCCACATTTTGTTTCAAGATTAAACAAGACAGGGGACGAAGGATTCTGCGAAAAAACAAATTAGTTCCAAAAGTCACCGCTAGGGGAATATTTGGTGCTGTGTAATAGAAAATAGAGTGTTAACAAATGCAAATCAATACAGAAATTACCTTTTTTTTATTTTGCATTCAAATGAGGTTCAGTATGGCTGCTATTGTTGTAGACCACATATGCACAGTATGCACAACAGCAGAAAGTAACATGTCTGCAGGAATAACCCATACAGTCCGTGATGTGTTATCGTTTAACGTAGCCAGGTCCTGGACCACTCCTTGATAGACCTTGGACTTAAGGTAACCCCATAGCCAGAAGTCACAAGGGGTAAGATCAGGCGACCGAGGTCGCCATGCAGTTGGAAAGTAGCGGCTAATGACTCTTTCTGATGTGAATTTCTGTCGTAGCACCTGTTGCACCCATATAGCAATGTGTGGAGGGGCTCCATCTTGCATGAAAATGATTTCCCCCAGGCATTGTCTTTGCTGAAGTGCCGGAATGACAAAGCTGTTCAACATGTGGCGATATTTCTCTCCGGTACCAGAACAGGTTTCCAGTCCTGTCGGGGTAATGTTCTCATAGAAGAATGGACCTACAATAAATTCCGCTGTGAACCCACACCAAACAGTTACCTTTGGTGAATGTAAGGGAATTGCTGTGACTGCATGTGGTGGTCAGTTCTGGGTATTCACAGTTCCATTCAAGTAAAAGTGGGCCTCGTCTCCCCATAAGATTTTCAACGGTCAAGCATCATCCACCTCCATTCTAGCAAGAAAAGGTGAGAGCAAAAGTCAATTGCTTATCATGGTCGGGGTACAGTAACTCCTGTACATGGCTGATCTTGAACGGATAGAAGTTGATAATCTTTCGTAAGATTTTCCATACCGTACTGTAAGGCATATCCCATAATTCCGAGCTACTCCACGAGCGCTAGAGGTGGCAGCAATATTGTCTGGTTCTCTGTCGACAATTGCCCTGGCAACTGCTTCGATTGTATTCTGTGGTACAGGTTTTCGTCCTCTGCCTGACTGAACCTTCAGAGAACCTGTTTTCTCAAATGTTGCAACCATTGCTTTTAGCCCATTAACTGACACAGGACCGTTACCTTTACCATTTTTTTACGTTCTAAAAGCATGAAGAGCGGCTGATGCTTTGCACTGGTTGAGGTAAAAGAATTTGACCAGTAACTCACGCTCAAGTAAAGAAGGAGACATTGCACATAAACTTTCAATCTGATTGATTCGTAACGTAACACATTGCCTTTTAAAACCCAAGCAGCTGGCACTGTGCGAATGGATGTAACATGAAATTTGAATAAAGAACTTCTTCTTCTGCTCAGTGTACATGATATTGCAGATCACGAGACTTTATCAGTGTTTATGTAGATTTTACGCTTTTTTAAAAGTGTTGCCGTATTGCACTTGAACTAAATCAGAAAATGTGCATAATAAAAGGTAATTTTATTCCGTATTAATTTGCATTTGTTAACACTCTATTTTCTATTACACAGTGCCAAATATTCCCCTAGCGGTGACTTTTGGAACTAATTTGTTTTTTCGCGGAATCCTTTGTTCCCCGTCTTGTTTAATCTTCCTACAAAATGTGGCGTCATTCTTGCAAATAGATCATGCTACAGAACACTGTGAGCACTGTCAGTTTATATATGGCCACCCAGTATAATAAATAACTAAACTAATACAATTCAGGCTTAATTGTCTCAGTGCGCGATAGAAGCAACATAAAATTTAACAGAACAACTTGTCATTAGTCGCTAAGCTCATGATGCATAGCCAAATATGTATAGTAAAGGATAGCTAAATTTGATGATGATAGCTGCTAATTTAAAAATTTTTTGGATATTGCAAAACAAAGTTGAAATTTTCCAATTAACGAATTTTGTAAAGAAATGTGGAGAAGAGGTAATAAATGAAGTTGATGTAAAAGAAGTTTTTATATCATGAATGGCGAAATCTGTAGTATAGTTCTAGATCCAGAAAATATCGCTACCCAATAGTGAAGAAAGTGACAGAGAAGTTACTGAAAACAAGAAAATGTCGATTAACAAGTTAGTCGGAATTCTCAAAACAGCAATTTCAGGATTTCAACAATGTAACTGAACAGAAGATTATGTCTGTGTACAGAATTAAAGAGAAGGTATTAGCACAAAAAATGAAGCAACTTAAAACAGCTTACATTGAAAGAAATGTTTAATAAGGTAAACAAATAAATATTAAGCTTTTTTTTGTAAACTTTGTTACTCTTTAGATCATAAATACTTCATTATTTCATAAATTTAGATTTCATATTTTTAATTTTATAATTTCCAAATGCCATCTTATTAGATTTAAACTGATGATCTATTATCCGGAAAAATCCCAAATCTGTAATTGCCCTACAATAAGTCCCGACGAGTCTGGATTTCGGACTTTGTACCATATTATAAAATTATATCCTGATTTTAAACTACTCACGTTTTTACAGAATATAATTTTATAACTTAAAATATAAATTAAAAATCATCTGCCCTAAGTAGTCATAGAATTGACATTTTCTTCAATTTTGAGTGAGGTCATTAAATAAAAGCGTTAACAATTCCATTTCATATTTCACAGCGATCTTACGAAATTTCGTTTATTCATTTTTGGAGATCTTGTACTGATTGATTAGTTTCAGAGAAAATAAAGTAGTGCAAGATATATATATATATATATATATTTATTTATTTATTTCTTAAAAATAGGCATATATTTAGTAGGTTATCTCTAAGAGGTAATTTTTAGTAGGTTTGCTTTCAAAGGCCTGGGATATGAGACTTATTTTGCCCTTAGTAGATTTATTTTTCTATTGTGATTTCCATTGTATTGTTGATCATAATAAAGTTTTTATTTTTATTTGCTAGGTCATGCTTTCCTGAATCCAGTTCATCTATAGATGATTGTGTAAGATAAATCTATAGTTTTTATATACATATACACATTAAAAAAAAACCCTCTTATTTACTTATTGTTTTAGGACTTATTTGATATTGCATGCTCGGAAACTAAATTGCCTTTGCAGATTATATATAGTTTGAAATCTAGATGCACTAAAAAGATGAAGAATATGTTGTTGTTTCTTGCTTGTTGTCCTGTTGAAACCATTTTAATAAGGGAACTAAATGTTAGATAATTAAGGATTTAGATAATAAGGAAGTTATTATCTAAATAAGGAAGAAATGTTAGGTAATTAAGGTTAGATAAATAAGGAAGGAGGGATTTAATTTTATGATTATGAAAAGGAAATACAGTTTTATGGTTCCTGAAAAGTTATAATGTATCTGCTTATTATAATTGTTTTAAAATCGCTGTAATTGGTTACATTTAAAACTACATGTTGTAGTTACAGCTGAAATTTTGCAATTACATCCCTGTAGATAAAATTTGTATATCTGATTTGGAGTTTCATTAAATTGAGATAGAAGTTATACACTGCTTAAAAGTGAAATTGCAACACTAAAAAAGAATGCACGTAGCATCATGCAAATTGCAGGAGAATTGTGAGGTGGATATGCAAATGATAAAAATTGCATACGCATTGGATCACGTGGTATGCATATGTGGGCTATAAATTGTCAGATACTTTCCCTTCTCATAGACAGCATCTGAGGGTTTTTGGAGCACTGGAGAAGAAGCATAGAAAATGCCTCTGAGATGACGGCGAGCTCAATTAGCTCAATACCATCAGTTAATGACTGGGGAATATGACCTTATTATCGAACTCCATGAATTTGGTTTGTCGCTGCACATAATAGCCACTCGTATTGGGCACAGTGTGAATATCATCCAATGTTGTGTCACACGATGGATTCCAGGAAGGTTTAGATGCTCGTCGGAGAGGAAGTGGTGTGCACAGGTGCACGTCAGAGCGCACAGACCGGCATATTCGGCGGTCAACTATTGGGAACCCTTTCTCCACATCACATGAGATCTAAACCAGTTGCCTCCAGGAGCAAGTGGATCTGTGTCCACTCAAACTGTACGCAATAGATTGCATGCAGTACACTAACGTTCACGGGTACTAGCCGCAGGAATACCATTGACTGTTGAACAAAAGACTAGACGCCTGGTGTGGTCAGCGTCATAGTGCGTGGACCATCGAATGGCATTGTTTGTTCACAGATGAGACTTGTTTCTGTCTGTGGAGGAGTGACAGCCATTGACAGATATGGTGGTGACCCGGAGAATGCTACAAAACAGCCAATTTCGCAGAGTATCACACTGGTGTTATGTTCTGGGCATTATGGTTTGGGGTGGTGTAATGTTTGATCACAAGACGTCCCTGGTACACACTAACGACAATTTAACAGCGGACCGCTATGTCACGCAAATTGCGGAACCTGTTGTTCTGCCATAGTTGCAAGGCGCACTCAACACAGTATTCTAGCAAGACAATGCCATGCCGCATGTCGCACAGCATACTTTTAACAGCCTGACCAGATTTGACATCCTAACCTGGCCTCTCCAGATCTGAATTCCATCGGACACCTGTGGGATGTCATTGGATGTGACATTAACCAAGGACTACGGCTGCAAACCCTGGATGATCTGCGTGCATCAGTGGATGTGGCTTGACAAAGCCTGCTCCAGGTGACTATCAATGAACTCATTGATAGGATGCCTCACCAGATTGCAGCATGTATTGCTGCCCGAGAGTGCAGTGTGTATTGTATTAGATACTGAATAAATTGGTGTATAATAATTGTATGTGTCTGTTTTCCTAATAATTTGCATATCCATCTCACAATTCTCGATCCTGCAATTTGTATGACGCTACAAGCATTCTTTCTTGGTGTTGCAATTTCACTTTTGAGGAGTGTAGTTTGGATGAAATGTAATATTCTTAGAACAAAAGAAACAGTGTAGCCTGTTTTCTGGTTTAAAATGTAAATGTTTTAGATGTAAAAGTCAGTGGTTAATTTAATGCACAATTATTTAATAACAGTTAAATTTTTTGGTGGAGGGGAAAAAATCCATTACTCCTAATATCCAACTTCCAATGCTCATTCACTGAAACTTTTGTTAAAAAATATTCATCTGGACTTCTGTCAGTAATTTCATCTATATTAATGTTTTACATCTGTTCATCAGTTGCCCATCATTCAGCTTGCTGAAAACATTTGTGTCAAAACTTAAGATTAATTGCATTGATGTTCTTATGAGTAAAAAATATTTTCTGTTAATATTGGCTAAATTTTATCTATTTGAAAACATTATCTTTTTTTTTTTTTTTTTTTTTTTTTTTTTTTTGTGTGTGTGTGTGTGTGTGTGTGATGGGCATTTATCAATATATAGACTTTTGACTGAAAACTACTAATAGTGTGAAGCAACATTTTCAATAGCTTACGTGTGCTATTAAAATCTAAATGTTTCAGTAGCTACTTACATTGATTTTCTTGCAAGTTTAAAAATATCTACTGTTTATAACTGCTATTTGTAAGAAATTTTAAAGGAATATTTCAAATCAGTGCAATAAATGTTTATATTACAGTTTAAAGTTGTAATAAATAATTATTGTAGTATGGATACAATAATGACTAATGTTCTAAGATTTTTGTATTTCTTTTTATGAATAATGAATTTTCAAAGGGTAAGAAATTCTGAATGTGGGAGGCAATATTGTGATGGGAACAGGTATTACTTTAAATATTAAAATTTGTAATTCTGCTAGCATTTGTAATTTATGGTAGTTATAAGCTTGAGCATGATGAATACGAGCTTTACGCTGCTAGTTGAAGGTGTATAAATTAGCATTTTTAAGCTTTTCATGGGTAGTAATGGAAACTAGAAGTTAGTTTGAGTAATTGCAGATAACTGATTGGCCTGAGTAACGGCATAAAGATTATGCAAGGCTTTTCAGTCGAGTCTGAAAGGAAAAATTACTAAATAATGATGTTAATATAGTATAATAGGCAAGTCTTCAGTTAAAAATATATTCTGTTCATAAAATGAACTAACCATATAAAAACTGCATATAACTATGTAACTTAATACAGTCAAAAGTCTTTAATCTGGACATCCATAATCCGGAATGATCTATAATCTGGATCTCAAAGCTACAAACTTTCTGCGCATTCGTCAACACATAATGCATTGATGCATGCGCATAATACCTTTATGCATGCGCATATGCGTTTACTCATGCACGTTTAATGTATAACAGACGGTATAAGCTGAACTAAAATTATCTAATTATCTATTTCAGTTAATATTGCATATTGCACTGTTCCTTAATCTTCTAATTGGATCCGGCTTATTATTTTTTGCAGACTCTTAGAGCAATGTTATAAAAGTAAGCTTGAACTTTCGATTATGTCAAAAAGAATTTCCAATTCTGGAGCTACCAAAGGATCTACAAAACGAAAGCATGTTTCGATGTCGATCAAACAAAAAGTGAAATTGCTGCAAAAAATGGATAAAGGCATATACTTTGTTTCTCTAACCATTCCAAAATCTGTTTATCAATTTCACGCTGCTGTGCCGGGGGGGGGGGTTGCGGCACGCAATGAACTGGAAGTTGATCTGTCAGCACTATCCTTATCTTCAGGGCAGATGTTTTTATTTTATTCGGCTTATAATTCCTTACTAAATGTAGTATTTCATCTCGATGTACTCCGTCTTTGATATGATTTAAATCAAATTCCTTGTCATTATAAATATCACGAATACACATCAAATAGTTTTCTGGTTGCAATTTTCTAATTTCGACTATACACAATGTATGCTTTACGCATGCGCACGTTGTAAGAAATGTTTAATAAAGTAAACAAATAAATAAAGCTTTTTTTTTTTTTTTTTTTTTTTTTTTTTTTGTAAATTTTGATACCCTTTAGATCATAATTGCTCTTTATTTCATAAATTACCATTTCATATTTTTAATTTTATAATTTCTGCATGCCATCTTATCAGATTTAAACTGATGATCTATAATCCGGAAAAACCGATAATGCGGAATTGCCGAAGTCCCGACGAGTTCAGATTAACTTTCTTAAGCCGGCTGGTACAGCAGTTGTACCAGGAAATGACTTTCTCAGACGCCGGCATTGGTACAACTGTTGTACCATCCATGCCCTCCCCATTTTAGAGAATCGCCTATCTGTAGATCTCTGGGTGGTCCATTGTCGCTGCTCAGAGTAGCCACTGGCTAAAAATTATTTCCCTCAGTTTGGCTACATTTTGGCAAAAACTGCAGGTTTCGTCTCGTGCCAATATACTTGAAAATCAAATAGAGGCCATCTCTTTTTAAATCTGTCTCATAATTTTAATGTTAATTTTTTTAGTACTGACTTTTGCTATGATTAAAACGTCAGCAATTTTGCACGCTCTTTAAGCTTACCATATTTAATGTTTTTTAATCATAACAAATAAGAATAGATTAATATTTTAGATTTAATGCCCTTCTAGAAATAGATAAAACCGCTTTTATCGTTTACGTTCTTTTCATACTTATGAATAATAAGATTTTATTTTGACATTTTTTTGTGGAGTGCATAAAACCCTTAAGAACTGTTAACTCTTTCAAAGTGCTTCTATTATGTAGGCAATTTTGTCTGATTTATCAGGAGATAAATAAGAGACAATTGTATGCATAATAGTTTTTGTGATTTTCATTCATTCAGTGATTGCTTTCAGTGATTTTCATTGATTGTAAATTAAATAAAATCATTTATCTTTAGACCCTCTTTTAGGATGAGATCTGCCAAAAAGTATTTAAATATCAGTAAAGCTCACGTTACTTCTAAATTAGAATCAAAACATCAGGTTGCATTGTATAAAATTTCGGCCAGTTTTATTTGCTGAAATTTCTTATACTCCTCAAGAGATAAAGGGAATTCAGACAAGTTAATTAAAAAAAATCTTTAAAAAAGGTTGTTATGAGGTTTGCCTGTAATGAAGGTGTATGTCAACTTACTATTAAAAGTATGAAAAATTAGGATTGGATTACGGAAAAGCACGCGGAATGCTATCTGCTTAAGGGGATGGATGCTTTCATGTAAACCTTTTTAAGAGAAAATTGCTCGCATTTAGCTTCCTGTTGGAAAACTCCACATGTAATCAACCCTTCTTCGGGTTTGATTGGATTAATTTTGTTCGCTTATGAATTACATCAAAAAAAAAAAAAAAAAAAAAAAAAAAAACAAAAAAAAAAAAAAAAAAAACAAAAAAAAAAAAAAAAAAAAAAAAAAAAAAAAAAAAAAAAAAAAAAAAAAAACAAAAAAAAAAAAAAAAAAAAAAAAAAAAAAAAAAAAAAAAACTTTATTAAAAAAAAAAAAAAAAAAATAAAATATAAGGCCTTCGAGAGGACGAGGGGGGGGGGGGGGGGGGGGGGGGGGATTTTAAGAAAGGGGAGTTATGCCTTCGCAGAGGACGTTTTAAGAGAAGCTGCTTGCATTTACGTTACACAAAAACCGTGAAATCCAACCCTTTACCCAGGGGTTCAAATACCAAGCCGGCTACAACTGTTCAGCCACCTTTACCGCTCTACAGAAGGGCCTCGTAAAAATATTGATAAAGGTAAAAAGTATTGAAATAACCGGTTTAATTTACTTAACCTGTATTTCTTCAATCGACAGTACATAAAAATTAAGCATATGGGGGGATTATTTGTGAAATAAATAAGCTGAATTGCACTTTTCTCCACTATTTCATATTATGATGGAATTATTGCATTTCAAAATTGTTTTCTCCATGAATTAAGTTTGCTCCCCTTCATGATTTTTCATATTTTCAAAGAGAAAATTTCACACTCTAAATAAAAAATACACGAGAAGATACTTTATGCAAAATTTGGCGTAAACGGTTTCTTAATTTTGCTTTGAAAATATTCCAGGGTAATCATTTTCATTACTGGAAGAAATATGAAAAACAGATTTACTACATTGTGTCAACACCCAGTATGTCCTTATTCTTTTGAAAACGCGAAAGATTACTCTTTCTAAAATAAATTAGAAAATATATTATGTGCAAATAGAATATTCGTTGAAAATGAAATAGACTTCAACCTTTGGATATAACGATGGTTTTAGACGAAATTTCTACCTATGAAAAGAAATTGACATATAATTAATTCTTCATGAACATTTAAAACTGTTCTCAAAAATTCTTTTGATGATTGCATGTATAGGTCACGGATTTTTTTTCTCTGCTAACATAAACAAAAGCCAATTTTACAAAGAAAAATTCTCGTTAAAGATATACCTCCTTTGCCTGATAGTCCAATGTAATATTTGTTAAAGTTAAATGATTAAACACAACCAATGTATCTCGGATTTTGATTTTTATATTATAATAACAAAATTATCGAAAAAAGAAGATTTAAATCTGTTATTGTTATGTAAAGCTTTATTATTGCTGTAAGTTCATCTCAAAATCTAATTGTATTGAATCTCATTCTAATCATCTAATGGTAATAAATATTATTATTATTTCATTAAATTAGTCATTATTTTATTAATGAAAATATGTTATTAAAAATCGCATTCCAGCCTGCAGACTTACAAATCTAGTCCGTATTTACTATATTTTGTTAAATTTTGTTCTCACACTTTCTAATTTCTAGTACGAAAATACGCGAATATAAATGAAGAGTGAAAACAAAGTTAAGAAATTCACAAATTATTTACGAGATTAATTAGAAATAGTAAGTGAAATATAAACATTGCATACATTTTGTTCTAAATAAATTGTACACTGGATATGCATCCAGTACTGCATATTTATCTATGCACTGTTTATTTAGAACTTCATTTAAATGAAAGCGAAATAATCATCGAAAATTACAAATCTAGCAACCCCTCTACTATGGTACGTAAGCGTCCGACAAACATGTAAATTTTACTTCATCCATGAAGAGGGACTAATGACTTTTCTCATTAGGAAAATGTCAAAGAGGGGGCAAAACTGTTTCGGATCGCGCCGGTCTGAAGGCTATATTTATGAGAATTTCGGCCCGGTTTTAGAAGGTTAAAGACTTTTGACTGTAGATTTTTATATTAAAATATGTGTCAACATATAGAATTATTTTGGTATGAATTTTTCTAAAAAGTAAGAAATTCATTTTATATTTGAAACTTGCTGTGTAATGAGGAATTTTACGAATCTGAATAATTTGTAAGTTTGATAATTTGTGATATATCAGATGCATTGATAATATGTTGCATAATGTTGATAGTCAGAAGTTTCTTCAAAAGGCAAGGCATATTGTGAGTTCTAGCTACTAAGGTATTAGCATGATCTTGCAATGTGTGTTGGTATAAGGGATCCCATCCTGTTGTGTTATTGGTACACTGTCAGAAAAATTGCATAGTAGGGATGATTGAGAAATGTGCTAGTTCAATTTTTGTGAACAAAATGGCAAAGCAGTCTGTGCGGAGTTGGTGGCCTTTTAAGGAATCAGTGCTGCATCATATTAGACACTGACAGTTTCATTGCAGCCAAATGAAATTAGAAAATGACACCCTTAGTGGACGTCCTGTTGCAAGTGATGATTCACAAATCATGTTACAATTGGATGCCCCAATCCTGAAGTTCAAGGCCCATATGTGACAAAAGTCGAAAGGTTTCAGCAGATATTAGAATCTTATACATGAATGGGATCAGAATCTCGATGTTTGTTGATATCTTATAGAAAAATAAAACCAGCTGTTACTTAAGTATTTCAAGTTTTCAAATTTCTTTGCCAATTTGTAAGATGTTTAATGACTTCTGCATGCATTTTAATGCAGGCTATTAATATAAATTTTAGATTGCCTTTTTATTTACAAGTGAATTTTGTAATTTTTTGTCCCGTTATCTCAGTACAATGTATTGCTTCTCTTTTTGTCTATTGCAGATGCCAGAAATGCATCCACGAGTCCGAGCTAGCAGAGAAATAGTTAGTGGAAATTACAACATCAGTGCATCAGAAGCACATAGGCCACAGGTATATAAAGATAGTGTTCTACAACCTAGTTACAGGCCAGAGCTAAGTGTAGCTGAAAATCCTTATTACTACCACGTAAATGAAATGCTGTATGAAGCTCATATTCAGCGTTTACAAAGACTGGCTAAAATATGAATATGCATTTGTTTGATTTTTTTGTTTATAGTTGCATTTCTTTTTTTTTTTTTTTTTTTCTTTTTTTTCTGTTATTAGAAGGGTCTGCCTTTAGTTGGTGCGCCGAATGTATAATCATGTAATATATTGTAAGAATGTGTGATGTGTAAAAGTAATTAAAGGTTTATTCAGAAAGATTCTGCAAAATAATTTTGTATTGAATTTTTTTAAATTACATTACATTTATGAATTGAAATGCACCTGTGTTAAATTGTATATGCAAAGTGATCAAAATAAAATCGGTTAAAATTAGTATTTTAATATTATGAAAGGCCAGAGAATGTAAACTTTTGCTATGTTTTTCATTTCATGTATTGTAGATTGAACCATTTTATGCTTGTCTTCTCTTCTCCCACTTTTTCATTTGTTTCACAATTCTGTTGCTCAGCACAATTTCATATATTAATTTAGTTACAATTAAATAAATGTGTTTTCAGAATTGTGGCTTGTGAAGCAATGTGTGTAAATAATTTGTGTAAAACAAAGCATGTATATATGTTAGTGTGTAGACAAATATATTTTTTTTAATTATGTAATTTGCTAAAATGTTTGATTTCTTAAATGTACTTTTTTTGCCAGTTGTTTTTCGTAAAAATTTAAATCAGTGTGCTTGGGGTGGTTACTGATTTAAGAATAGAATTGCATGTACACTTGAAGTGTATTATGGCTATAATCACTTTTAGATTTAAATTCATACTCTTTAATACTAAGAATTATTCTGATTGAAACTGGGGGGAAGAATTGTATGTAGGCTTTATTAAAAAAATAATCTTTAAAGGTAAATTTGTTTTAAGTAAAAATTATAATTTTGCAAAATGTGAAACTATTTTACACCATCAAAGGAATCACAGAATAGTTCATTTTTCAAAATACCTATTACACCTTAACACTCTTAATAAGTTAATAGCTACTGCTTTAAAAAAATCTTAAAAATTTACTTTTTATTTCATATATCTTTGTTTAGTTAATAACTTTACGTTCCATACATTTGTAAAATTAGCTATCATTTCAGTGTAAGTTAAAAAAAAAATTTCTCATAAATATTAGTTTAATGTATTTATTTATACATTGTATTAAAAGACTGATATAATCAAGCTTGATCTCTGACTGAAAATTAGTCTATTTTAATGAATTATTAATACCAACAGTTATTCCCCCCCTGCACTAAAGTGATGAAAGGTATTTGGAATTTAAAAATCAAAATGTAATATAATTCTTGTTTTTTAGGAATGAAATGTATGTAAAATTATTTTAAAATGACTAGCAAAATTAAAAGTCTACCAAAATGTATTTGAATATTTATTTTATTGTGTTTGTTTGTTTTATGTAATAGGTCAGTTTATTGTTTTTCTTATTTTCTTCTTATTATTATTTAATCTTTTGGTTCTGAAATTTATCATTAATGATTTTAATCCATTTCTTTTTAAGGGGTTTTTCTTGCAATTAAGTTAATTCGTACTGTGGAATGTATTAAATGACTAATGCTTATTTTGAAAGCAGTTTTAAACAGTGTATAGTGTAATTATTGATAACTGGAGCTAAAGGTTAAAAGACCCACAGACCCTACCAGTTGAATAGCAATTTATCGCTACGTCTTAACAACTCACAAATCAGAAGAAGGTTTAAAGTAACCTTTTTGTTTTTAATTGAAAATTTAATGTAAGTGCACAAATTAAGGTACAGAAGAACCACCACCTGTGGCTTTTTAAATTAAGCAATAACAGACAATTAAGTTCAACATGGGAAACATAGTCTAAGATTGCACATTCAGTATATGTTTCAAAATATTCTAAGATTGCTATAAATCGACATCAATCACTTTAAAATGTAACCTTTAATATGTACAATATTTACAGATCATTAATCAAAACATAGTGGTTGAGTTGACAAACAAATCTATATGCTTTCATAATCGAAAATCGAAATCTTTTAAATAGGAACTGAAGTGTTCCTAAAGTGTGCGAAGCATCTAAGCATACATCTATTGAGCTGCCGGTGGAGAGTCTATGGAAATTCAGAAGGCACGTCGCGTTTCACATGCAATGCTAGCACCATCTATCAATTAATCAAAATAATTTCCACACACTCCCCACCTGAACTCTGTCAAGAGTTCGCATTAATCTAACAACAATCAAATTTATACCAATAAGTATTTTAACATAAACAACTTTATAAAACAACTGATAAGTATATTAAATGAATAGAAAATATATTCAAACTATAATCATTATACTAAATTCTAAAATGGTATGTTAACATCAAATACAATTTGACACTACTTTAATAAATCTAGACTATTCTTAATCTAATCATATGAAACTAAATTAGCAAAATAAACAATTACATAAAACATATTGAATAATCTTTTATTAATAAATCATAAAAAATGTTTTTAAAGTTCTAAAGGATATAATAATTGAATTTTCATTTTATTATTGCTCCATCAGCAATTTTTAGTTAACAAGAACAAACTTTGTTGTCACGACCACGAAAAACGTTTATTATTCTGCCACAGTTCCACAAAAGTTTACACTTGTTGCCTTTGATTAATGTGAGAACATGAACTTTTAGATCATCATAAACGTTAGGATTTTTTAATTGATGAGCTGTTCGAAGATCCATGAAATATTGTTTTTTCCATTTAGTCCACAATTGTCTAACCAATAAATCTTGGTAAATTTTTCTTTTAGTCAGAGAGGACTTGGAAAGCCATCTTTAACAATGGAATTAAAGATGATAGGTAATGTAGAATCTTTGTTTCCAAAAATCAAAAAATTGACTGGCTTCAGTGGCAATGGTTCCTTGTGGTCGTTGTACACATATGTCAAAGGACAAGAATTCAAAACAGCTTCCACTTGTGCTAAAACCGTTGACAATTCTTCAAACATTAGTAAAGCTTTACCGAGAATTTTTCTTAAGCACTCTTTCACTGATTTTACTAATCTCTCGTAGAAGCCTCCCTACCAAGCCTCTCTTTCTATTATAAACTTTCAACTGATTCTTTCATTCGACAAAAAATCTTGGAATTTCTCATTGAACAATAGTTTAGAGAAATGTTCGAGTTCCTTTTTTCTGTTTTTAAAAGTTTTTGCGTTGTCCGAATAAATTACTTGACAGTTACCTCTCCTAGATGTGAATCTTTTGAATGCCATCAAGAAAGGATTTCAAACTGTTAAGATGCCAAAAAGGCATCAATACATGTTTTAGTAATGATTTTATATATATATATATTTTTTTTTTTTTTTTTTTTGCTAGACGGGGCTTAAAGAAACAGTTTCCAAGTTATTTGATTTTTTTAACCTAAAAAATAGATTTTTAATTTACTTTTGGCACAGTAACTATGAAAACACGTTTATGTCTTTCATTTTAGAATCTACACAATTAAAACTGAATTTTAGTTATTTACTTAAGTTCAAATTTAAATTGGCTGTATTTATGAAAATAAAATTAATTGCACTACTTAATTTTGTATGAATAAATTTACAACTTTTGTTAAAATTAAAAAATAACAAAAATATAAGACTCCTCCTTTTACATTAAAAAAAATATTTGTTTGTGCTACAGTATAATGCTGCACAATTATACGGAGTTTTCAGAACCTTCGATTGACTTTCCAGGAATTTGTTTTCTGTTTTATTTGTTTATTTAAATGCGGCAAAGAACTGAAGCCTGTTCCAATAAAAATTCCGTGAAGTTATATTTTACCTTGAAATAAATTTTTTTCCCTGTATGGCAAAAACTTCCCTTTAATTAATCAGTGTTTTATAATATGCGAATTTCCAAGTTATCACAATGAAGTTTTAAATTCCTTTGAGAAAGATTCCTTTCTTAATTTTTCTAAGCTTTTTAAATACGATTGCAGAAATTAGTATCTTTTCCTTGTCTATTTCTTCAAGCGATACATTAAGGGGAGTCATCACCTTTACACATTCAAAAAATCAAATTTTATTTTTTTTTATTTTATTTATTTATTTATTTGCATTTTTAGAAACTGCAAACATTTCTGAGTCTGTTAACAAACAGTGTTACGATATTCCAATTAGAACCTTGAAAATTATGAAATAAAAGAAAAACGATTGAGGTATATATTGCCAGATCAGGCATTTAAATCGTCACCTGACGTTTGTTTATATTGGTATGCGCAGCTGCTTACGAATGTTCACTCGTAGATTGCTTTAATTTTTACTGTTAACATCATGTATATTGGTAAAATTGAATATGTCGGACACATTCATAAAAGAATGGGCACTAAATTACTAAAGAGAAAGCAAGAAATGAAGGGGAAGAAGCTTAGTGACAGTAAAACTCTAAGTGGAAAAGGTCGCCTTATCGATGAATATTATAAACCAATAGACAATTTATTATGGAAATGCTATTAGAAAACTTGCAGTTCTGTAAAAGATATGCAAAAGGCAGTATGTCCAGTATTTTACCACAAATGTTCAACGGAGGTGGAACCTACTCACAATTTTTGCCCAACAGGCGAGGGTTCGTGGTGTACATATCAAGGAGTAAGTGCGAGTGGAAATCTGAAATCGTACAAACATAAAAATTCAATTCCACTACCTGTAATGGATGCTATCAAAGATACTATATTAGCATGATAGATAGAGATATTAGCAGGCCATTATTACTAAAAAAAGTGTTCAGGAAAGTGTACACAGAATCCAAATGAATCGTTGAATACTTTGATTTGGAAGTTGTGTTCTAAAAATTCCGGGTGTGGTTATAATATTTTAAAGACAGAAGTGAATAAGGCAGTTAATATATATACAATGATGGTCAAGCTGGAATATTATATACTATCAGTGAACTTGGATACCGAATTGGTCATAATGAAGTCCAGTTTGCAGCAGTCGTTCAATGAAATCGGGCTCCTGGGTCAGACCACTATCCCAGTGTAGCAAAATAATCCACTTTTTGAATGTTGAAGGTTTTTTTTGGGGGGGGAAGCAGGAAAGATGAAAAATTGTTTGCAGCAGTCAACGTCGTATTTAGTGGGTCAAAATAAAGGCAGAGATGTCTACAATAGATACTCGCAGATCAAGAAAAAGAGCCAAACTTGTTTCAGTAACAGCTATTGAAGAACAGGAGGGTATGGTATATGCAGCTAAGCAGTTTTAAACTGTTTTAGTATTATTTGAGAGAAAATATATTCAAAATTTTGAAACTTTAAAACCATTTTTCTCAAAAGGGTGATTTTCATTCTTGCGCACGCTCTTTAAAAAATCTATCATAACTATTGATTTAAAAATTTCAGGTTTAGTACATGATGATATTGCCGAAAAATGCAATAACTTTACTTACAAATTTTTATTCTTTGATATTTTAAAATTTAAATAGGTGAAGAATCATACCTAATATGTTTCATCACAAAATTGTAAAAATTATTACTGTAACTAAATTTGTATTACTGTTAGTTTGTGCGCAGTGTTTCAGCCAAAATTTTAAATTTTCGATACAGTTTGTTTTCTCTTTATAAAACGAATTCTTAAACACTATTAGTAAAATAAATCAAGAAACATAATCATCTGTGTATAGCGATGACACACTGAAAATTTCATATATATCTATGACCATAACAATTTGACTTATTAAAACTCGAAAATCAGCCAAAATTCTCACCTTTTGTGTTGCGCAAAAGTGATGACTACCCTTAAAGCAAAACTAGATGTAATAAGGTTAGATAATCAAATTAGACGTAATTAGAGGCTTGGCTGTAATTTTAAAGTTCTAATACAAAATAAAATATCTTGTTTGCAGACGTGAAATATATTAATTTAAAATAAAATTATTATTTCAAATAATGTTTCTCGGTGAAGCTTAAATATGCATTTCGATTTATAGTAATTTTCATTACATTTATAAAATTGTCTGTAATAGGTTAAATTTTCTTAAAATACAATTGGAAATTCGGTTTCTTTATAACATGAAGTAACTTGGACTTTTATAGACAAATTAATATTAATTTATACTTTTTTGTCACAAGGGAAATTTTAACTTCCTTCATATATAAGTAATGATGAAATGTAATTTTCTTATTTTTATATTGTTATCGTTTAATTAATTTATGTATCTATTTAAAAATTAATACCATAAATATATTCTCTTAATCTCTCAAGTAACAAATACTTGTTGGTTTTCATGTTTTTCTTAATATGTAATGTGAACACGAGTTAGATTTCCTTACACAGTCTTCCAAAAAGGCAGCCCTCGCGTGTTTTGCCGTGTTCAAATAATCTAACCTATACTAGGAAATACTTTCTCTAACTAAATCTCTTAAAAAGGAA